CACGGGAACGTCTCCCTCTGGTCGCTTCCTGCCAGTGAACAAGCCTCAATCTTCTGATGAAGCAACAGACTTTCCAGAGCAGGAGACGACACCATGAATAATGCGAAACACACGAAAATGAATACAGCAGTCAGCACTGCCATATCTGAACACTATATCGCCATAGGCGCACAAGTTGCACTGTATCATCGTGATCAGGCAACTGAACTGACCATTGTTGGACAAGCCAATCGATGACAGAAAATTCTTATGCGGTTTGCGGAGGACGAGTTTCTATTCGCTTGGCTTATGTTTGATTGGACGCCACCGTAACCGACACGGTAGGCGAACAGGTTCCAGCAGCTTTTACAAAGTTCGATCTGTTCAATGAGTTGATTCTTAAGAGCTGACAGACTATAAGAAAAGAAATAGGGGTTTATAGTATGCTGATTATTACGCTGGATGATCAACTATCAGGTGGGTGAGTCTTCAAGGTTAAGTGTAGCCATAATGGGGGCTCACATCGGAACATGGCAATACACAAAATCTATTCTGGCATGACCAGACCAGAATACAACGCTGTACCTAATATTCACAAGTCGTTGACTGCTCTCGCCTATGCACCGCAGGGTTAATTCCTTACTCAAGAGAATTCGTGGCTGTGACAAAGATTGTTCTTTGAGTGAATTCTAACCCGGCACTTCCGGAGTTCAAAGTTCCGCTCACTGCCACTGTGTTACAACTTCTAAGATGTGCAAAGGAATACTAAAACTTTACCAGGTAAAGGTGGGACAAGTAAAATCAAGTTAGACATCTTCCAGAAACGAATCTTTATAGAAGTGGGTATATTATTCATTCTGTAGCATTTAGACGATAGGAATGAATCTTCTATTAGGTCTTTCTTAGTGTTGCTCCTTCTTCGCTTCTCAATTTGACACGTCCAAGCCCTGACTTAAACATGAGATTTAAAATGAATCACCATTGAATATCTGAAAGCAAGTTTTTAGCACCTTCAAAACATGGCTGGAGTAGCTAGCATAGATGTTGTTCTTTTCTGTCAGTAACCTTTGAGAGCAATTACCTCAAAAGATGAAAAATTACATGTGCCGCTCGTTTCCAAGGAAGTTAACCTTAAGTTTAATAGGCTAAGTAAGTGCTGCAAAGTCAGATTAAGCCCTGGAAGATTCTAGTCTCTTTTTGATACATAACTGAATCAGGCTTCAAGTACTTTCAAAATGTTTTGCTTCTTTTCTTCCCATTGCATTGAAAACGACGCATGGTGCCATAGAGCATTTAGCTAGATGGAATAACTGAATAATTCAGTATTTTAGATGTTGTGTCAGGTGCAACGACATCTTACTACTTGGACGTGTTCCTGGCGGTCGCCAGCCTGTTATAGGGATTTGCGGTCAGAACTCGCTTTGCGAAGCGGCTATCGCCTATTCGTTGGCAGTGACCCCACAATAACCACTCGGACACTTTAGTCCAGATGTTCTAATCTCTCTCCGACAACAGCATTTGGCGCCAGGTCGAACCACTTCACTCCTCATATGGATCCTCAAATCTTCATTTCCGTCACTTCTAGTTTTCTTTGTCCAGTTTTGTTAAATGCTGTGGTCTGCAGGTCATCAAGCAACATGTTCAGAACGCAAGTCCTGTGTATCTGCAGCTTCGTGCCATCGGCAACATTTGAGAGCTTGAATGAATAACTGGTTCCTCGCTGAGAGTCTCATCGTACGATGCCTCTCAGTTTCACTCGTCACTTGGTAAAGAATGTCCTCCCAAGATACGGATATTCCAGTACCGTTTCCACAACTTTAGTTTCAAGGGACAAACAGAAATTGATCTAGGTTCCAGCAATTTTCATTAACCTTGTTTTCTTTGAGTTAATTGAGAGATCCAAATCAGAACAGTTTTCTGTCAAAGCTTCGACGTTGTCTGTGCGCGGGGTGATTTCATCGGTAGATGTAAAGAAAGCCTAACAGATGTTTCTAACTTTGGCCGAAATCGTATATTCACTCTTTCGTACTGATTCGAGCACCTCGTCGAAAACGTCGCAAGAATGGCATAAGAGTCAGCACTTCTCTTTGTTTTACTCGATTATCAAAATGGTCATTAAAACATTAAAGCTTTAATCGGTATTTAAACGAAGCTAAATATTTAAACAGAAAGACGCAAAGTAAAATGCACTAAAAGCCGTTTTAGAATCTTAAGAATGAACATCAGCTCAGCTGCTTCATTCAAGTTCTGCTGGCAAATTAAGACGGATTATTCGTTTTGTAGCATAAAACACCAGACGCGGAAACCGATCGAGGTTTTGTCCTTTTCTCGAACCATTCGGGCCTCAGCGGCGATGCATCGTAAGCTAAAAGTTAAATCGATCAGTTCAGAAAGTCAAAAGCTGGTTTTGGTTAAACATAAAAGAAAAAAGTGACAAAAGAAATGTTGAAGGAACGAAAATGGCCAAAATATGCAAGAAAAGTAAAACTTCCCTCCGTTGCATACTTGTAAGTGCCTAAAACTAGAAATAAAACATTTATGTCAATCGCCTTCGATTCCCAACCGGACAGCAGTAAACAAGAACGATGCACAATCCTATATTTAGCGATACACGACTGTGCTATCATCAGGGTTTCCCTGAGCCATGGACGGGGGACGAAGACCACTAAGTTTCATGAATGCAGGCAAGGTGTCCAAACCTTCTTCCATTCCATTATGGCATTTCCTTCTGTTGCATAAGCATGACGTGTTCAAGATCAAAATAGCTTGGACATATGCAATGCTATAACTAATAACTATGCGCCCAGACATTCGTGAAAATTAGGTTCAGCGCTGTAATTTAAAAAACTTCCCAAAAATGAAGAATCGGCTCAGGGATTTTACGTAGCGAGTGACACAGAGTTGGTACTAACAACTGAACCTGTCGATTCTTGTAGACTGAGATGATAAATATGATAGATCTATGAAAGACTCATTATCCTTATTGGAGAGGTTCTAAGTTGTTCCGCTTGGGAATATATCTGGAAATGGTTGTAAGTCTCCATTGAGTCTTTGAAAGTCAAAGGGGCTTTGGTCGACAATTCGAGCACCAGTCACCATTTTATCCAAAAA